TCCATTGAATCATTTCTGAATTCAAAACATATTTATGTTTTAATTTATAATGAAATTTTTTTTGTGTTTCAAAATAATCCTTTAATTCATTCTAAAGAAAAAGAGATGTTCCTTGATATTGAAGGGCATATTTTAACTTATACAAGTTACGAATTTGCATTTTATATAACTGTTAAAATACATATGCTTGTTCAAAGGAGGATAAAAAAAATTTCTTTCTTTATTTAGACCCACTATTCTTAATTTCCTACAAAATCATCCAATTTGTCTGAAACAAATTAGTGGTCTACAATATTCCGTCACACTGTTGAGAGTAACAAAACCGTCACCTCCTCTTTAACCTCTACAAAATTTAAATCTTCTTCAAAATACTTTGCAATTAATATTGCCCAAGTGGGAGAATGTTGGAAATTCTTAAATTTGGAGGCTGACATTAATATCATGATATTTTAGTTTATGACAAAAGCAATTGTAAAGTTTGTTAAATATAAGAGACAATACAAGATCATCCAAATATGGTTATGTGATCGTATTATGTTGGGCTTAGCACATCTCTGTTTCAACAACAAAATGTGATTGGATAGTCAGTGCAAGAGTAACATGTGATGGATGGGCCTGTTGAAAGATACTCTGTAAGTAGGCCAAGATCTCCTCTGCTTTACTAATGTTGAAAATAGAGAGTCCTGTCAGATGTAATAGTTCAGATGGAGTTTATTCAGAAGCCCAATTCGACCTCATTCCACCTACCGTGGAAAAGAGAGAAGATATGACAAATCATTCTTAAGGAAAACCAAAAGAAGAATTACTCCACAATAACATTTCAGTTTGTCGGCCAAAGCCAATGTTGAATGTCCATGATGAAATCAAAAGCTTAGCGTGCGCAATGTCCACTGAGGACTTACGTGGAATGATGACGTGATTGATTTAGCGATACAAGACGTCATCCCTCTTGTACGAAATCACGAGTCCGATTTACATAGCGATTAATCAATGAACTACTCATGCTGCAATGCATAGCTACGGTATATTTCGTGTAAAGAGACTTCTTGGCTGTCGGTAGCTTGATGGGACTACGAAGACAGGCTCACGATGCTAGTGATGGGAAGTAACTATAGCTAAAATCGAACAATTTATAACTGATTTATAATGCTTATGGTTATACTTAGATGGTCTCTAATGGGGGTCGCTTGTTCCGGTCCTTTTATTTATAAAATAAAATGAAGATATACGGATTGGAAGTGGGACCCATCCGAACTCTGAGGTCAAAGACGTCTCTAAATGACTCAGCAACTACTACTGCTTAGAATGTTTGTAACAACTTCCATCTTTGTCGCCAAACTCTATCCATAAAAAAAATTGGGTCCTCACAATCTATAGAAAAATAAATGGACCTCTTCCATTTGTAAAGGAAAAATTTGTGGATTCGCAATCACTCTGAATTGGTAGTTCCATTTCCGTGCTCCAATACATAAGAATCAATAAATCATGAGTTGCAGATTGTCATTCTGTTGAGATACGCATATGAATTAAGTTAGAAAAAGACTCGTATTAGAGAATTTGATATGATATAAGAGAGTTAACATATTCTAGTTGGCTTATAACTTAATGATTTAAGTTTTTGAGTAAATGTGGATCTAAATGAATATATTGATGGGCTCGGATTGGGCTTCCTCTTGATAATTTCCTCGGGTAAGGTATCAAAATTCTGATCATTGCTCCCAACAAATGGCATATCAGTGTTCGGTGAATCTCATGACTAGTTAATATATATGTCATCCATCGGTTACAATACTCTTTACTTTCTTCCCAAGTGGGTAAATTTAACATGAAAATTTTATAATTTTTCGTATAGCAGGATAGAGAAGTAATTAATTTGACTTACAGAATCCATAACCACACTATATATATTAAACCTTGCATGTTATCCTTGAATTGCCACATATTCTATTGTCTTGACGCTACCTCAAAACATCCTCCCAATGGGTAGCGACCGTATTTCTCTTCTCAAACCCTCAAATTCTTACATAATTTTCGTCTCCATCATCGTCCTCCAAGCTTGTCACCATCTCATTATTTGCCAAGTGATGCCTCCATCTCCACCACCATCCCAAGATTTGATCTTCTTGGACCCAAGACTCGCCGCCGTATACCCCGTAATCCAGAAATTCAAGAACACCATCAGCGCCGATCCGCTCGGCATCACCAACTCTTGGGTTGGCCCCGACATCTGCCACTACCAAGGCTTTTATTGCGACAACCCGCCAGACAATCTCACAGCCACTGCGCTCGCGGCCGTCGACTTCAACGGTTACCACCTTGGTGCGCCGACCCTCGAGGGCTTCGTCGACCAGCTCCCAGACCTCGCAATCTTCCACGCCAATTCCAACAACTTCTCCGGCGTCATCCCGCAGAAGATTGCACAGCTCCCGTACTTCTACGAGCTCGACGTGAGCAACAACAACTTCTCCGGGGCATTCCCGGCCTCAGTGTTCGGCATCACCAACCTGTCGTTCTTGGACATTCGTTTCAACGCCTTCACAGGGTCTGTCCCGCTGCAGGTCTTCAAGCAATCCCTCGACGTGCTCTACATCAACAACAACAAGTTCATGCAAAAGATCCCAATCGACTTTGGCTCGACCCGGGTGCTGTACCTCACCCTGGCCAACAACAAGTTCACGGGCCCGATCCCAAGGAGCATTGGCAACGCCTCCTCAACGCTGATCGAAGTGCTCTTCCTGAACAACCAGCTCATAGGTTGCATTCCTTACGAGATCGGGTTCTTGAGAAAGGCCACCGTCTTCGACGCCGGGGGCAACTACCTGACAGGACAGCTCCCGTGCTCACTCGGCTGCTTGGACAAGATCGAGCAGCTCAACTTCGCCGGGAACTACCTGTACGACGAGATCCCGGAGGTTGTGTGCTCAATGCCAAATTTGTTGAACCTATCGCTGTCGAACAACTACTTCAACTACATCGGGCCGTTGTGTCGGAAGCTCGTGAAGAGCGGAGTGCTGGACGTGAGGATGAACTGCGTCGCTGGGCTTCCCAATCAGAGGCCGTACTATGAGTGCGCGAAGTTCTATTTTCACTCGTTTTGGTTTAGGTGGCTCTGTCCGTGGCAATACTTGATGAGCGTCATTCCTTGCAAGATCAATTCAACTTATCCTCGTCGTCCTCCGGGTGCTCGGACAACGTCGGTCACTTACCCTGCTCTTATTCGACACAGATTATTGTGAGGATGAGTTGTGGTTGAGCGTGTGTTGTTCGTGTTCAACATGTGGGCGTGGTGCGTCCCTGAAGAAAACAATAATGGGAAGACCAGCAATAATAACCACAGAGAGTGCTTATATGGTTAGAGAAATGGGTAGTCTTTTGCAATAGTTGTCAAGTCTCGCACACGATGTGCAATCTCATGCTCACGTCATAGTTGAAGTTGTCCTCGTTAAAAAAAGGTTATTAGGTAAACCAAGGGTGATATGATAAGCAGAGGCATTATAAAAACTATATGAAACCTAGTGGGACCTTGTGCAGGTTCCAGTGTTTCTTCACAAGTGATTTCTGTCTTATTAGACTAAGTTTACTCAATTCTTTCTTCGCTTTCAGTTGTTAGAAGAGGTGAGAGAATGGGATGATAATGGTAATTTTGTCCGACCATGCATATGACGGGTGATTTACAAGTATGGACATTATTCGCAAGCAAATTTATATACAGGGCAATAATTTTTCCCACCATTGTTGGAGAACTTATTTGATAGATTACGAGTTATGAAAATCACCCACATGCAAATTTAACTATTTAACTAGAATTAAATGCGAGTGATTTTATGTTCATAGCATATCAATCAGAAGTGTGATTAGAGATAAATACAGGTAATGTCTACATTTGTACCTCACCAATACTTGGGTACAGTGCCCCGCAGTCATTGTCCCCACCTTTCGCATCCTTTAGATGCAATTAAGTTCATTCAAATGCTAGTGATTTCATATTCATAACATATCAAACAGAAGTGTCAAATATCTTCTATCCACAAAAATGTAAATAGAATAACGGATAGAAGAATCTGCAATGCAATTTATAGTGGTTCAACCTATCCACTTAGCCTCTTCCATTATACCAGTTCTAATAGCTCAATAATAAGGTTGAAATCCATCAGGCAATCTTTAAAACTTTGAAAGCTTTTACAGTGAAGTTACCTCTCCACGATCCCAGCATTTACGATCAAAATCATGAGACTCTTTTTTTGAAAGAATAACCAACAAGAATTAAGAACAAGCTTTGATATTTGACCAAAAACAAATTGGGGGACAATGAGCGCGGGTACAAATGTAGACATTACCTGTATTTATCTCCAATAAGTTTCTAAAACTCCTACAACAACCATTTTATCTGTATGAGTATTAGGTGAAATGACACCAATTGTCCCTGTACTCTTGCTCAAAATTCAAAACCATTATTATACTTTTTTCGGTCCAAAATCATCCTCGTACTTTTAAAAAGGGTCATCCGTCATCTTTTTATTATTTCGCTCTTTTTTTATCGATTTATGCTGATGTGGACGATCGGAACCCTAAGTAGAAGCCATATCACGGCCATGGCCACTCAAGCTCGAGCTTAAGCTAGAAGCTCACAGTCATGGCCATTTGAGCTGAAAGGCCGCCATGGCCAAATCTAACTTCAAAGCGTGTGACCACCGTGGTTGCTTGAGCTCAAAGCTTGCAACAGGCCCAGAATCAACTTAAAATCGAAAAATTATCGATACAAGTTAAAATAGAAGAAGGCCCAAACAACGCCACTCTACCGTAAATAGTTCTCCGGTGTTTTGAGTTCTTGCGTTTGATTGTTTTTCTTCTTCTTTCAAGTTTTTTTCATCAATTTATTAATTTGATTATTAGTCTATTTGCTTATGTATAAATTTAATTAATAGGAAGAAATTCAAAGTGCCATTCTCATCTCGATGAAACAAGAATGGATCTAGTATGTATAGATCTCCAGAGCAAGCTTCTGAGGAAATTTTGTCTGCTTGTTGCGATTCTTAGGTCTGTTTATTATTGTTTTTCTTTGTTGAGGATCAAATACTTGACTCTAAATTACACTTCTCAATGGCCATAATCTTCATCATCATCCACCAGTGAATCCCACAATTACACGATTGATGTTGACGACGAAGATGAATTGGCCGAAGCCGGAACGCTACAAAACTCAGTCATTAATCTCTCATCACTCACTCGCTCCACAACAAAATGCCCAAGCTTACCAACAACCTCCACCAAGCTGTCCCTACACAAGAACTCGTCGCTGTAAACTCTCTCCACCTCCCTGTCGAAGTCATGCACCAACACGTGTGTCTCTGCCGCGCCACCCTTCTTGCTCCTTGCCAGCACCGCCGCCGTGAATATTGCCGACATCCTCCCCGGCGCCACCTCATGGTACCCGCTCGGCCCGTCAATTAGTATCACGTCCCAACTCAAGTCATACACGTGGTTGGGCAAGCTGTTCAATGCGAGCTTGCATTCCGAGAAGAGCAGGTTCTGCACTGGCCGGCACTCGCCATGCAGCTCGCCTCTCGCCGACTCAAGCAGCCTCTTCATTTCACCGACCCTCGTCTCGTACTGCACGTCGTAGGCCTCAATTCCCTGGTGATGCTGCTCAAACCTTGAGACAAGTTGCTCGTCCTCATCGAGGAAGATGGTGTGGCCGTTGAAGTTGAGGGCTTTGTACAAGAGGGCCTCGTGGGTGAGGCCAAACACGAGGAGGTTGCAGCGGGAGGTGGCAGCAGCACAGCCAGTGATGGCGGTGGTTATGGTGACAAGCTCGGTGGACGTTACGTGGGTGGAGTTGCTAGTGGCGGCGTAGTGGAGGAGGGCGTCGGATATGGAAAGTGGAAGCGGTACTGAAGACGCGGCAGAGCCTGCGGTGCTTGTGGCGGTGGGGGTGGTGTTGGTGGTGGCGGCGATTAGGGTTAGAGTGAAGGCGGTGGTGAACAAGGTGATGATGAAGATGAGCCACAAGCGATTGGCGTTTGAAGATGATTGCTTTTGGATTGTGGGATGGAGGAGTATTAGCTTTGCGTTTTTCATCTCCTAATCTCTCTCTCTCTCTCCCGCAGTCCCTCTCTAAAGCAACGTGTTCATTTCATTTAACATATCAGAGAAAGGTCTTAAGAGAAAAAGATTCTAATCACAATTAATGCAATAATTGCAGCAAACATTGTATATTAGTGTGAATAGACTAGATGGGAGACCAAAAAAAAAAGAATATGTGGGAATCATTGAGATGAAAGAATTCTTGCCCAGAGAATAAACAAGAAACGGAGTGAAACGGGCAAAATCGTTCAGTACTTTCGAAAAAATAAGATTTTGATACAAATTAAAATAGACAAAATCATTTGTCCCCTACACATGAGTTAAGCTTATAACATTAGAAGAAAAATAATTCGAATGTGATTAATGCACGTAGAAGGACTGATTAGGGGGCTTGTTTAGCAAAATATAAAAAATTTGAAAAGCATATTTCCTAAAAATGATCCTAGAATCAACGAAAAATATTGTCATTATCAACAAAAATGTTTACGTATAGAGTTTTGTTAATAATGGAAATAGTTTTTTGTTGACTAATTATTCTAAGCAATACAAATAATCGGTTCTTAGAAAAAAAGTTTTTTTGAAATCATCGATTTCTCGTAAAACAACCGCGCCCTAGACGAACGAAAATCACGCCACATAGTTCTCATGATACAAAAATATCTAACCAGATAATTACTTAAAGTTGAAATGAATCACCTAAAATCCCAACAAAATTTCTAAAATACGGAACATATAAGGAAATAAACTTAATTGTAATCCTAGAAAAAATACTCGCCAAATTTTAGGGTTTTCCAGATTAATATATACATTTCATTCTCTTGCAAAACATCTTATTCCTATGAATGAATGAAGATTTTACGAGAGATCTTTATTATTTTTTGAAACTTGTGCATGTGAGCGTGTTTGCGTCTGTAAGCATATTTGCAAATCAAGTTATTCATTTATTTATTATATTCGCTGCGTAACCTCATTTGTTTCAAAAGCATTTTAAATCGTTCGGTAATGAAAATATGATTCGCATTTTGAAGTCGGACGATCATCATTGTTTGATCATCATAATGAAAGAGTAAAGAGATGGAGAAAGGTGCGGCGTCGCTGTCATTTGCTTTGGCTCGTGCGCACCATTAACTCAACATTGTCCTTCAATATTGGGGTCGTTAGGTCTGATTGATTTGATCACGGTGGGATTTGCTGTTGGATATGGACATCATGTCATGTCTTTTGAGGTCTACTGATGTCGGCGTCAGATAATGCAAATCATCTCCTAGCTAAAGAACAAGGTCATAGCAGTCTCCAACTTTTTCTTGGTGTTCACTATAATCTTTGAATAATTTTTATTTGAATTAATCTCTAAATTTTCTAAAATCTACTCGATGTGATTCTTTCGTTAATTGGAGTTCAATGTCACGGGTAATCAACTGTAACGGTATGCCAATCCAGCAAAACTCATTTAGCAATGACGTGGATTGGCCAACCTCACTACTAGTGTCATCCTTGATGTGGTCTTGTTGTGCCTCATTGCCGACGCTACCTGAGCTAACCGTCCATGCCTGGCTCAACCCTCTGTGTGTGTGTGACTTCCAATGGAGGTTGGGGCTATGCACATGACCTCCATTGATGGAGGTGTTCAAGTTCATACTGGGTCGCACGACTTGGCCTCATATCTAGTCTAAATTAAACAGCTATTTAACAGTGTCCATGTAGGTGTCTTTGTTGACATATTGAATGACTAGTTGATAGTATTATTGGTCACATCAGCAATTTTCATTAGTCTACTTAATGAAATGACAATATTGAGTCATATTCAAAGAGGACAAGTACTATTGAATTGCCAAATATCTTCGGGACAAGATCGAATAATAAGGAAAAGTTGGAGGACCACCTATACTCTATCATCCAAAACAAAAGAAGAAAATACGAAACACCATGATCGTGGATGGTACAGAAGTGAGAGAGCTTAATTAATGGAGAAAGGTCCTTTATGGGAATCATAGAGAAATGGAAGCAAATAATGTATGTCAAGATGCTATTCTGTAACTGAGTGATGTCAAGATGCTATGCTGTAAATTTGTTTCAATCTCCCTTATGAAAACTAGTAGCAACATTTTCTAGTGAATTACAGAAACCAATCTTCAATTTTCACCTCAAATACTAATTTCATATCTGCTAATTCCAAAATCTATCCACACTTTGCAACGAGAGGTTTCAAAAAAATCTACGCTTTGCACTTTCTAATTTCCATAGTTTGTTAGACTCGAAGATGTAAAATTTAGACCTTTTTCGACATCATGGCGCAAAATGCATGCTCGAATTGATAGAAGACGTGGAATAAATCATAATAAAAAGTCAAGAATGCTTTTTGTTATTTACCCTGCATAATGAAAAATGTAGTTGAGCCACTTAGGAAGCGTGTATAAGGATAAACGGGAAAATTGTCAAATCAGTAATAAACCTATTACACAAATGCTGATATAATCCAAAACTTTTCAATTTTACCAATGTAATCCTAAACCTTTGAGAAAAATTCTACTGTAGTGCTTTTGGTTATGTCAGCGGTTTCAGCGAAAATTGGTTGGAAAGACTATATTAATATTTCACTTAAAGGTTTATAAATAAATTGATTAAATTAAAAAATTCATGATTGAACTAACATTCACACAATAAGTTTAGGACTGATTGGACAATTTTCTCAACGATTAACTGTTCCATTATTTTCCCTTCTCTTATAATCCTTTTAAATAAGAGAATAAACAATATATAAAAAAATAACACGCGCATGCACACATGTATATATTAAAAGAAGTATATTTTTTTTTTGGTAAGGAAAAGAAGTATATATTTGTATCTTATGGAAAAGAGATATGCGATATCTTTTACCCAAATGGTTTTCATTATGTTAGTAGCTTGAAATTTGTCAATGTTGATCATCACGTTTGTCCACCATAAGTTATAAAGTCAACTTTCACGTTTGCCCCACTAATTTAGTATTTAGGTTAAAAGCAAGTTCCGTTCTCACGAAAGTGGTGCTTTACTCACAATGTTCTGTTCGAGTCCGACCATGCCTTTAATTATTGCTTTGCCTAAACTCGGTATTATTGACGTAATCAGACCAATGATTGTGGTCTCCACGTCGTAAAATGACGTCAATGTACGTGAGATATGATCATCTCTTAGGCATCGAGAGAAATGTTTCTTAGCGATGCAAAAGTTTAGATGACAAATGCCAAGAACTCCTCACTTTTCTTTTGCAAGTTGTCATCTTATCATGGAATAAAGCTATCGGAAATCCCTAAACGTTATCAGTTCGTGCAGTGTTTTCCCTTGATCTTTTTATCTTATCTTTTAAACCGGTCATATTTGGGGCCTAGCCCGGACCGAATCAGACCAATTCGAAATAATTTATGCCGAGCCGAGAGGACTTGTTAGGCCCGACGTGATTGGGTCGGGGCTATTTTTCCAACGAAAGCCCCACCCGTTTGCACCTCTACTTCTAATTACCAGAGACTTCAAAGGAACTTGTGAACTCGCATCGTAGTATGCCATTTCCTACACAATTCTTCATCTGCAGTAGACAAAGAAGTATTCCTCTCTCTTGTAACATAGCTTGAATACTAACTTTCGCAACATAACATTACCATGCGAATCTGTTGGTAGTTTGTTTGTAAATGAAACTTGGGAGTGTTTTGTCCCACATAGAATAAATGGGAATATGTGGGCCATAAATATGAAAACCCTAAAATGTAAATTATGAATATACTCAAAACTAGAGTGACGTGTAATGACTATGTACGAATTAGTCACATCATTGATAACATACTCAACAACAGCAATCCACACAAGACGATATTGAGGTTCGACCTTAACGTCTAAAGGTTCGAAAGCCAAATATGTCTTTGTTGATGCACAGAAACAATAAAACCACAGTGACCTAAGGATTTATCAACTAAAAAAATGCACTTAAATCAGATATTGGGACCGCATCAACCCAAACAAACCTCATTCTCACCTTGACTAGAATTGGCCTAAGGCAGTGGGGAACGAGACGACACAATGGAGTGTGGTCGAGCGGGCGGCGAGACGTGGCCGCAGTACTCACCAAGACAGGGAAATGCTCAATGAAGTGTTGGGCGAGCTGGTTTGTGCTGCAGGAAGTCGTCAAGATGTCGATAGTGCTACGATTCGCTGGCAGTTTGCTGGTTCTTCACTGCAAGGATGTTGGGAATTGGTCTAAGGAGGCAGAGACTGATGCGACAAAAGCCACTGTGTTACTACGAGATGGCTTGCAGCGGTAGCGACTCGACGGCACTAGAGAAAGTCGAACTTTGTAGCCTATTGGAAAGCCACCGAGAAGATTGTTCGCTGGACCGAGACACCACCGGTGCGTGAGGGCAGACTGCTGCTTGACCGATTACTGGAAGATGATCACAGCACCCATACTTCTCTCTCTCCTTCGCCATAGTCGCCAGAACCCCAAAACTCAGTGGCGCCACCTGTATATACAGCCTCGCACACCTCTTCCGCTTAAAAATCGTTGGCGACGTACCCGAGTCCTTGCACCCGAGCCAATCAGCGGTTTCTAGAGCCGAAGCCGAAAAGAGGACGACAGCGACGAGGACGAAAACGAAGAAGAAGGAGAAAATGAGGACTTGAGGTGGGTGAGGGATAGAGAAAGGGTCTCGGGAGATTGTCAATTTGAAGTTTTTTATTTAATAGCTTTTAGGTCTGCCTCGGAATTCAGGGACATTTTATCATTGGGTTGTTGCTTGCTCCTCAGTCTCTGAACTTGAAATTTTATTTTTAGAAAGTTGAGTTGGGCACACATGCGGGTGGAGTGATTTTGGTCAGGCTATAGAGACGCGGAGAAAATATTTAGTGGTTTCAAAGCTGCCGATGTGCTCATGCATATTTTACTCGCATCGACTGATAGACTGACATATGTTCGTTGATGTGGAATGAAATGAACAAAATTGATAATATGCTATGTTCAGCGATAGAATTCGCTTTGCTTCATTGGAGTTGCCGAGATTTGACCTTAGCTCGCCGTCGCCAACGGAGCATCCAAGCCGATCACCGTCTCGTGGTC